CGGGCGGACGGGGAGGTCGCGCGCCGGCCGGGCTCCAAGGCGGAGACCCCGGCGGCCTTTGTCTTGGCTGGGCGCCCGGCCTCATGGCGCCGGGGGCCGAAGGGCCGTTGGCGCGACCGCCCGGGAGGTAGGAAGTTAGGTGGAGGGAAGTGAAAAGTTGCGGGACGTGTGGCCCCGACGGTCGGCTGCGGCCTGGCGTGGGCGGGAAGCGGGGGCTGCGGGTCCCTCTACGCGCCTTCCCCCCTGCCGTGATGGGGGAGGGTCTTGCTATGGCCGTGAGGTCGAGGGCTAGCCCTGGAGTGAGACTCACGGGTCTCTTTCTGTTCTTATCTTTCCTTTTTCTTTAGCCGAAACAACTTCCTGACAAATGGCAACATGATCTTTTCGATAGCGGTTTTGGGGGTGGTGCCGGCGTGGAGACCGGTGGCAAACTGCTGGTGTCAAATCTGGATTTTGGAGTGTCTGACGCTGATATTCAGGTAAGGAACTGGAGCTTCTCGGTGGGCAGGTCACCCCACACGGAATTGATTGTGGTATTTGGGACGTAGCCCTGAATCCCCACCCACCTTAGAACAGTGAGCCCTCCCAGGCACCCAAGGGCTAGCCACTGTGCCCTGTAAGGGGCTCCAGGAATGCAAAGGAGAGGTCAAGCTAGAGTTGAAAGTCTGACCAGTGGGTCAGTTTGTGCTGGAAGACAGGCCCCCAGCTTAGTCTGAGGAGCCGCTGCTCTTCGTTACTAAGATGTGTTCTGTGGATGAAGGCCCTTTGCCTGAGCTTTCTAACAGAAGCTTGGTTGAATGTGTGTCGTTTATGTGTTATTGAAAAAACTAGGCTATTTGCCTTCTTTACTTTGTGCCTGTTTTAACGATTTGTTGGGAGGAGAAAGCCTTTCATGTGTAGAACTGACAAAGCACAGAAGCAGGATGGTGCCAGCATCACTCTGGCTCCATTTGCCTTAAGGTCTATGTCTTCTTATATGGAATTTTGTTCCCTGTCTTATTCTCACTTACTTTCACTCCCTGGGTTTTGTTAGTGGCATGATTCTCGGACTCATCTTTGGTTGAAGCCTCCTTTTCTTCTTTCTTTTCTTTTTCTTTCTTTTTTTTTTTCTTTGATTGAACCCCAAAGGCATTTAAATTTGCTTTCTATAATGATATTTTGGGGGTCAGTCCAGGAGATGTCTGGGTCAGGGTACTGGGCCTTCCTGGGTTCAATTTCCCAGAGCCCAGCCACTTTACTTTACCGTGGGAGGACAGAGCAAGGCCGGTGAGCACTCACAGTGTCTCAACACTTTTTTTAAGGTGGTTTCTGGCATCCACTGGAAACCGCTTTTGGTGAACTCCACTTCCCGCTGTGTGCCTGCGGCCGGAGTAGCCCCACACTCTGGGTTCCCTCTCCAACTCCCAGCCTGCCTGAGGTCAGGGCAGTTTCCATGGCAGCGCTTGACTTCAGGCTTTGCGGCAGGCTTGAGTAGGAGGAGAGGGAAAGGTGAGCCAGAATCTGCCCTGGGGGAGGGGCTGGGTCAGGGCTCCCAGTCAGCGGGCCCTTGGAGCTGGTCCACAAGTGGATAGAGCCCCTTGCTCTGTGATCTTGACCTTTGCTGCTTCTTGGCACAGTCCTTGGGTGTGTTGTAAATTTTCCTTTGTTGAAGAAGATAGCGACTTAATCTTGTGCCCTTCACTGGTGGGCTTTGTGGTCCTTTACCTGCATCGTGGTGCAGATGTCAGGTCCCCAAGTGGGCAGGAGCCCTCGGGCCCAGCTGCTCTTGGAAATTGTTGTCCCACCTGTCCCATCCCATACCCCAGACCCCACTACCACTGCCCTGCCCCCAATATGTATGTCTGCCTCCCAGGGAAATACCCCAAAGCAGTTCATACTTCCAGGGAGTGTCCCTGGGGCGCCAGAAGAAAAACTGCTTTGCTGACAACTGCTCTTTCTGACTCTCAGGAACTCTTTGCTGAATTTGGAACTCTGAAGAAGGCGGCTGTGCACTACGACCGATCCGGCCGCAGTTTAGGAACAGCTGATGTGCACTTTGAGCGGAAGGCAGATGCACTAAAAGCTATGAAACAGTACAACGGTGTCCCTTTGGATGGTGCGTTTGGGATTGGCCCAGAAAGGCTACAACACTGTAGCCAGTTTGTGGAGCCTGGGGCTGGCTCCAGCCCTGCAGGAGTAGGACCCCCTCTACCTGAGGACACTTTGCATTCGCCCCTTTGTCTCTCTCTTCCATTCTGCCACTTCTCATGCTGTCCCGTACATCTGGACCAACCTCTTGTGAACCCCCATCCAGCAAGCTACATTCCTCCCCTCCTTCAGCTCCTTCCGGAAGATTCACTTCTGTGAAGCCTTCTCAGAACCACCATAGTACACCTCTGAGTACCGGGCTGTAGTCGTAAAGACAAAGGTACTTTCGCGCTTGTGAGCACCCCGGACACCTGACAGACACCCATCTACACTGGGTGAGAAGGAGCAAGGAGGCGCTGGTGGGGCTGTCGTTGGCAACATTTCGTTCTCCCACCAGCGTCTCCAGGCTGTTGCTCATGTTGGGAGCATTGAGATGCACAGCGCCCCTTTCTAGTGCTTGCATGGAGGCCAGGGTGTGTGCCGCCAGCAGGCCTCAGAGCCCTCTAACAGGAGCTGGCCCTCTTGTGTTCTCTGCCGCAGGCCGCCCCATGAACATTCAGCTTGTCACCTCACAGATTGACACACAGCGGAGACCTGCACAGAGGTGAGTTTGGGGCCTCTGGGCGGGGCTGGCCTGTGGGTGTCCACTTACCCCGCAGGCCTTTCCAGGCACATGAGCAAGTTCCCTTTTTTTGCTAGCATAAACAGAGGCGGGATGACTAGAAACCGTGGTTCGGGAGGTTTTGGTGGTGGCGGTGGCACCCGGAGAGGCACCCGTGGAGGCAGCCGGGGCAGAGGCAGAGGAACCGGCAGGAGTTCAAAGCAGCAGCTTTCTGCAGAGGAATTGGACGCCCAGCTGGATGCTTATAATGCAAGAGTAAGTCCCAGAGGAAGACTGGGTGGGGGCCGGTCAAAGACCAGCTGGAGGAGGACCTTATTTTGAGCGAGAACCTCTCTTCCTCTGTTTCAGATGGACACCAGTTAAATAGACCAGCAAATCCGCGCATGGACCAGGACCCGGAAGTCTTGTCCGTGCTCCCTGGTGGGAGGGGTGACAGACTGGGGCTGTGTGGCCAATGATGGATTTGTTTCTTTTATGTTTTAAAATAGGATTTAAAATTCATGTAAAGGTTTCTTTTTTTTTTCCCTTTTTTTTTTTTTTTTTTTTTTTTTTTTTTTTTTTTAAAACAGATTTGTTTCTTTTATGTTTTAAAATAGGATTTAAAATTCATGTAAAGGTTTCTTTTTTTTTTCCCTTTTTTTTTTTTTTTTTTTTTTTTTTTTTTTTTTTTTAATTCTGAAACAGACCTGTTTTGTACTGAGTTATTTTTGGGATAAATTTTACTGGTTGTTGTTGTGGAGAAGGTGGTGTTTTCACCTTTGCCATAATAAAATAGAAATGTGTGTAGAACTGGAACTGTTTAATTTATCTCACTCTTGGAGTCCTCACCTGGGCCAGAACTCTGGTGTGGTCTGGCGGGCAGGAGGGACACAGGATCTGAGAAGGAAATGGGGCAGGCCTGCCAGGCACATGGCACTTGGCCTGCAGGTTGGAGTTAGTCCTGCAGGAGGATGGTGGCTGCCACTTTCCCATTTCTGTTCCCGCAGATCCGAACTCCTTTCTCTCCACCCCCAACCCCGGTAGGTGGGAGGATGTGGAGCAGTGGTCCTCAGCCTGCAGCTGCCTGTGCACTGCCTGCACAGCCAGGTGAGGGGCGGGGTGGGGCGGGGTGCCCTGTGTTTCTGCCAGATTTCAGATGGCTTCTGGGTTGAACTGTTTCTTTCCTTCTGATGCTCTGGTTCTCAGAAATGTGATTTAGCAGTTCTGATTTTGCAACATAATCCCCTCATGTTTTTCGTCTTTGGTGTCATCAAGGAAGGAGCACTGTGTTAGGCTGTTTTCTTAGTTACGTACTTGGTGATGTAGCTACTAGGAGCTGCGGAAAAATATAACTTGATTTGCAGAGAACTGGAGGGGCTGGCAGCCACGGGTGCCCATCTGGACCACTCCTGGGACAGAATAGAGCTGGACAGTGACGTCACACGATCGAACGCCAGTGACCTGCCGTGCAGTTTCTGTGGTTCAGGAGGGGCCGAGATCCCTGTGGAATGCAGGGCATGGACACCCCTTTGTGCCCCCTGTCCTGAGGGCATGCCTGTGAGCTACTCACAGGGTCCTGGTTCTGTGGCTCACAGGTACATTCCAGGGTGGGGTGGGAGGGGGAACCTTTATCACCTGATGCTGGGGTGGTTAGAACATGGTGACAGCTTTTTGAGAATAGAGACTGTGGGGAGGGGTGGGTGGGGGCCTGCAGAATGGAGCTCAGAGTCACCCCAGCCTTATGGCAGCCATTGGTTTTTCCGAAGGCAGCTGCCATGGTCTGCAGCTCAGGAGGCTTCCAGGCTTCCAGGCTTCCAGGCTTCCATGTTTGGGATGGGGCTGGAATGAGTCACGAGGAAGGAGTGTGATTAAGGGGTGGCCCTTTAACTGTCAGTTACCAAGCTATCACTGCAGAGCCAGCGGCTGCCACTTGAGCTGCCTGAGCCATGTCAGGCGCTTAATGGAAAGAAGGGTGAGGTGACTCATCCCTGCCCTCAGAGGAGCCCAGTCTAACGGGAAGGGATCGTCCAGGGCCTGGCTTTAGGTGCCGTGGTCATGAGGGGTGGGTGTGGTAGAGGTTGGACCATCTGGGCAGAGCTGGGCAGCATCCCTGAGGAGGTGGCCTTGGGCTAAGCAGGCACATTCCAGGCAAGGAGACTGCTTTCTGGATGTTGGGAGAGGCGGTAGGACATCTTGCTCTGCTCCACCTGGAAGCTGAAGAGCACCTGATTGAGGGGTGCACTGAGCCCAGGCCAGAGGCTGTAAATGGTGGGACTAGTGGCCCCTGGGATGGGGAGCCGTGGGCTGTTGGCTCAGGTGTTTGGAGCTAGTGATAGCCAGGATTTGGGGGCTTGTGGGGCATCGTGAGGAGAGGCCAAGGGGTGCTGCATGGGAGGAGGATGTCGTTAGTGAAGAGAAAGTTCCAGGAAGAAAGCAGGCCAAGGACAGGGGCCGTGCTCAGTGGTGGGTCGGAGGTGGGCAGAAACACCGGATATGGGTAGGCGTCCAGATGTGGACCTAAACGAGCGTTGGTTTGAGCTGGATGTCTCTGACCTGGAAGTTGGCTTGGGGACACTAGCTGGAGGCGACAGGAGTAGGGAGGGGGTGACATCATGGTTGCTGGAGGCCTGTGGTGGGGAGGCAACTGAGTCAAAAAGCCTGTGTTTTGGCAGGGAGCTTAGAGAAGCCTCCCCATCATTTTAATCCTCAGTCTTCTTATTTGTGAAATGGGAAACCCCGCATTACTTCAAGGGCTGGAGGACCATGTGCTTTGCTGTTCATGTAGAGATACTCTTGGAAAGAAGGGACTGGTGAGTGTGCAGCGGCAGCTTCTGTGCTCCAAGGCAAATCAGGCTTCTGGTCACCTGAGGGCAGTGCTGGGTGTCCCTGTGATAGCCAGCACTTCATGCCCCAAAATACTGGTCGAATGAGTGAAAGGATGAAATAGACTTGGTGCTCTTGCACGTTTTCTCCTTCACGTTCCTTGCTCAGACACTGGATTGCAGTCTCGCAGAACGGGTGGATGGGGCTGCCCCTCTTGCTGGGTCAGGCTCCCACTGGGATGTGCCCCAGCCCACCTCCCACCATGTGGTCTGAGTGGAAAGTTCAGTGATTGGTCCAGGAGTGGCAACACGCCTCGCCTGGCTGGTCAGTTAGTCTTCAGGATTTTCAAAGGTGTTGAGAAGAAAGCCAGCGCCAGGTAGGGTGGCACACCCACAGGGACTGGGGCTTCTGGGCTCTGATGGGATGCTCAGGTGGAGAGGAGCCACTCAGCTCCTAGGTGTGTTCCTGACATTTGCTTGGTTGAGCAAAGATACATGTGGTTTACAGAGCAACGTGGATAAGGAGGAACAGCCCTGTCCTTTGGCAGGTGATGTGAAACCCAGCAGGAGCCAAGGTGCCAGAGTCGTTGAACAGTTGTCACACTCAGACATGGTTTGAAATACCGGAAGAGGAATGTTGCTGTGTCTGTGCTCAGCAACAGTTCTCTAAACAAGGGTTTTGTTCTTGCATGCAGGGAGCTGAGGCTCTAATACAGGAAACAAAAATGAGAAATTATAGTACCATCTAACAACTACAGTAGAAATAAGTGAAGTAGAACATAGATCATTTGTGTTCTGCTGGAACGTACGTTCCAATGGGGGAAAGGTGGGAAAAGTGAAATACAGGATGTCAGGTGGTGACAAGGCTATGTAAGAAAACAAAGCAGAGGATGGTAAGGAGTGGGGAGAGGCCTTTGCTGATAAGGTGGAGGTGTGAGCACCTGGGTATTTGGAGGGGAGCCTTGCTCCAGAAGAGCAAGTGCAAAGGACCTGGGGTGAGAACGCCAGGACAAGCCAGAGCCTAAGTGTGGCTGCGTGGAGGGGCCAGAGGTCGTGGGGCCTCACTACTGGCTTCTGTGCTGGGCTTTGAAGGAAGTAGCCCTGTGGGGGCATCTACCAGAGGTGCAGCCTGGCTTGGGGAGGGGCCGCCAGGGCCTAGCTTTTGGAGACTGACGTGGGTGACATCCATAGACAATGACTGAAAAAGCAGAGATGATGGAGTGGGCTTTTGTGTTTTTGTTTCAATGTGTATGAAATGTGAAGTACTCTTAAGAGCACTAGTTTTTTAACTGAAAAAAAAAACACATTCAGTCAGTACAGAAGGGTAATGATGTAAACAATCACCTTCCCAACATCGTCCAGACGAGACCTTTGTTACTGCAGGATTTTTTTTTTTAATGAGAGCTTTATTAACATGTAACTGACATACTATATAGAGTTAACCCAGTTACAGTAATTTTACTACATTCACAGAGTCACAAATCCACCACCACATTCAAATTCCAGAATATTCTCATTACCCCAGAAAGAAGCCCGTTAGCTGTCGTGCCTCAGTTCCCCTCTCTTAGCCTCCACTTGTCCACTTTCTGTCTCTGTGGATTTGCCTGTTCTGGACATTTCATACAAATGGATTTATACAATATGTGACCTCAGTGTCTGGCTTCTTTACTCAGCATAATGTCTTTGAGGTTCATCCTTTTTATAGCCTGTGTTAGTATCCAGTCCTTTATCTTGCCAAATATCTTATGGTGGTTATTTCACATTTTGTTTTATCCGTTCATCAGTTGATAGATATTTGGGTTGTATCTACTTTTTGGCTATTGAAATAATGCTGCTGTGAGCATCTATGTACACATTTTTATGTGGAGGTAGTTTTCAGTTCCTGTGGAGTGGAATTGCTGGGTCATAAAGCAACTAAGTTTAACTTTTTGAGGAGTCGCGGATCTTTCCACAGCAGCTGCACCATCTTGCATTCCAGACAGCAGTGATAAGGGCTCCAACTTCCCCACTTCCTTGCCAGTAGTTGCCGTCTATTTTTTTTTACTTTAGCCATCTATAGGGTGTGAAGTGGGTTCTCATTGTGGTTTTGCTTTGCAGTTTCTTTTCTTTATAATCTTTCTTTTTTAAATGTCTGGATTGAATAATAGTTATCATGGATAACACGTTCCTCCCTGGACAATTTGGAGGCCTTTCCTTGCAAACACTCATAGCCTAAATGGAATTGAATGTCCTGTTATTATCACCAACATTCATCACATTCAACAAAATAAAGTCGTAAAAGGTTGATTTAGTTGAACATGATGAGTACCTGTAAAACTCCAGTTTTACAAAGATGAACACGGAGATCTCTTTATATTACCTGTATTCTTTAGATTTTATAGAAATGCTCAATCAGAAATGATGTGGTCTTCTTGAAATTGACATAGCTAGCATCTTCCCTAATCATTTCTATTAGAGTCAGCCTATTTCTCCATTTAACTGTGCATGTTCTTAAGTGTCATTTTGTAATTTTGATATTCAGATTTATAGAAAAGAAGTGAGAATCATACAAAGAATTCCTGGATCCTCACCCAGACCCCCAGATGGAACCCCGTTCCTTTTCATTCTCTGTTTTTTTCTGAACTGATGGAGAGTAAGTTGCAGCGTGATGCCACTATACCCCTAAATCCTTCTACGTGTATGTCTTTAAAAACAAGGACGTCATCTTACATAATCAGACCTTAACACTTGATAACAATACCGTTATCTGAACCACAGACCTTATTCAAGTTTAGCCAGCTGACCTAATAGCCTGTGTTGTAAATGCTTTCCCTGGTTCACATGGAAGAGGAATGCCTGGGCCACTGCCTTGAGCTAAAGATGTCTGTAGTCGTCTGTAACTGGCAGTACTTAGCCTTTTCGTGTCTTTCATGACCTTGCCACTTTTTGAAGATCAGTCTCATTGGGGATTGTTTTGCTTCGTTATGATTAGTCCGGGGTTATGTATTCCAGGCAAGAATACCACTGAAAGGGTTTCCCGTGGGGTACAGCATGGTGGTCTATCTGTCTCATTACCCATGCTGTGACCTTGTTTGTGTGGTTCAGTAGGAGCTGCCAGGTTTCTGGACTGTAGTGTTATCTTTCTCCCCTTTATAATCTATAAATTTATTGGAGGAGAACTTTGAGACTAAATGAATACTTGTTTCTCACCTCATTTTGCCTGCTGATTTTAGCATCCTATGATGCAATAATTATTATGGTGTTTAATGGTGAGTTTTTTACATTTCCCCCATTCTTTCAACATTAATTGGAATTCTTTCCTAAGAAAGAGCAGTCCCTTCACCATTTATTCACTTATATATATCAGTATGGACTTGTGGGTATTTATTTGATTCTATGAGTCATAATCTGGTAACTGTTAACTCTGTTGCTCAGACTGTTAGGATTCCTCCTGTGCCCTTTTGACATGCCGTGCCCTTTTTTTTTTGGCTG